TCTTGGCTTTTTTAGGTTTTGTGTTGTTGAATTCAGATTCAGAAAATCAGTTTTTCATTACAGAAACACTTTCGGTCTGATGGACAGAGTGAAGCGCTTCATGCAGTGAAAGCTGTGTTTAAAGGAAAGAAGCGAACTGTGGCCAGTTTGGATAGCAGGTACTCCAGTCGCCGCTCTGTAGCTATCATAGCTGAAGTTGCCCGGTTATCTGCAGTTTTAGTTCCGCACTGTTTCAGCTGGAGTAGTTGTTGTGCCAACATGCTGTATAAATAACAGACGTAGCAACTGCTTCAGGTTATTAGCGCTTCAGTTCTGAAGGTTCTTCTGTAATGAAAGACTGTTTATTTGAAGCCGTGTCTGACTCGTTAAACACGCTGACAGGTGTTTAGTAAGAGTTTATTTTACAGTACCAGTACAGTGGCTGCAGCTAATAACGAGACTAAACTAAAATCCACCACTAAACACTCAAAACTCGTCTCGGACTCATGAATCGACTCGTGAGCGACTCTGATTCCTGGACTTTTTATATGTAGGTTTACAAAACAGGGCAGCCGGTCAGGTCAGTGTTTCTGCTCCTGGGTTAAACTTCTTGTCCTACTCATTTTACAAAATGTAGATATACACACCTAGATGCTGCATTGCCTGTTTTCCTGTTTCACCTTAAATGGTGCAGAAGTCACTTTCTGGTGCCTGAATCTGCACCATTTAAGGTGGAATGGGAAAATTAGAACAAGAAGCTGGCAAATTTGAATCTGACTTCAGCTTCGTGTGAGAAGGTGCTAACGCTAATCTATTATTAATATCTACACAGATTAAGGAATGCTATAATACTGAGCTACAATGCTTTAACCATCATTGTAAATAAATGACTACTATATAAAGATTCCCTGAATAGAGTATTAAATGAAATAATCTTAATATAAAACCAGAGGAAAAACAATCACATCAATAGGTTCTCTGTGCCTCATTAACCACACAGCCATGTCTACACATAAACATCACAGAAACATGAGTGTGGATCTCTGCGTTCCCTCCGTTATATAATCCTGTCCTGCTTTCTGAGTCAATATTCCTGAAATAGTGTAATTCTGGACAGTATCTTTCTTAAACTGCCGCTCTGTAATGGTACTGAATGCAGTCCAGCAGTGATATTGGCCATCCCAAAATGGCGGTGCTGTTGACGTGCCTGGCTGGACCCAACCCGGGATGAAACAAAAACACTGATGTGTCATTTAAAAAGCATGTAATTGTGTAGCTTCTGTGATGAATTCACATCACAGATCGTTATTCCAGAAAATAATCTTAAACAGGCATGTCAAACTGGGGACCCCAGCTTTGGAATAGCCTACCAGTCTGTGTTCGGGACTCAGACACAGCCACCATCTTTAAGTCTAGGCTAAAAACGTACCTGTTTAGTCGAGCCTTTGGTTAATTTGTTTTCCTAACCATGTCCCTCTTACGTGATCTCCTATACTGACAGAGACAGGATGTACAAGTAAGTTCCACTGCAGTTACTCAGGACTTACATAGTTTTCTGACCCAATACTTTTGTTCTTCAACTCAAGCTGTTTTTGGGGAGGTACTTTTACTTCAGTCGTTATCTCACCCAGGAGTAAATACTTTCATCTGAGTGTGAGTTTAGGCTACTCTACTCACCTCTGACCTCACCCACATCTCCACTTAACTAAAACTAATTCCCACTCTCACATTAAGCTTCAGCCACTTCTCACTGAAGCCCATTGCCAAGTCCCTGTACTCACACTGTCACTTAACTCCACCCCCTTCCCACTAATCACCCACACCAATAAACTCCACCCACCTTCACTCTAAACTCCTCCCACACTCACACGAAACACGCACTCTTCCACTAAATTACACTCACACTAAACCCCACTGACTCCCACACTAAACTCCACCCAGTCTTTCACTAAACCCCACCCACTCTTCTCCTAAATTACACTCACACTAAACTCCACCCACATTCATACTAAACTCCACCCACTCTTCTACTAAATTACACTCACACTAACCCCCACCCAGTCTTTCACTAAACTCCACCCACCCTCACTCTAAACTCCTCCCACACTCACTCTAAACTCCATGCACTCTTCCACTAAATTACACTCACACTAAACCCCACTGACTCCCACACTAAACCCCGCTCACGCTAACCCCACCCACACTCACACTAACCCCCACCCAGTCTTTCTTTAAACTCCACCCACCCTCACTCTAAACTCCTCCCACCCTCACTCTAAACTCCACCCACCCTCACTCTAAACTCCTCCCACACTCACTCTAAACTCCATGCACTCTTCCACTAAATTACACTCACACTAAACCCCACTGACTCCCACACTAAACCCCGCTCACGCTACCCCACCCACACTCACACTAACCCCCACCCAGTCTTTCTTTAAACTCCACCCACCCTCACTCTAAACTCCACCCACACTCACACTAATCTCCACCCAGTCTTTCACTAAACACTACCCACCCTCACTCTAAACTCCACCCACTCTTCTAAATTACACTCACACTAAACTCCACCCAGTCTTTCACTAAACTCCACCCACTCTTCTACCAAATTACACTCACACTAAACTCCACCCACTCTTCTACCAAATTACACTCACACTAAACTCCACCCACTCCCACACTAAACCCACTCTTCCACATAACTCCACTCACACCCCCAGCTGTACTGGACTGTCAGCGTCTGCCTCTGTTTATTAGTCTCCTCCTGCGGTATATAATTGTGCTGCTGTTTGTGAATAAGATGCTGTTATTGTGTGTCTCTGATTGGTGTTACTGCACTGCATCTTGATTACGTCACTGCTGAGATTTGGGAGATTTGGGACGGCGTTTCTGGCCTGTTTTAATTCCCGCCTCTTCGGGCCATATGTTTACTCTCAGTTTAGGCTTTAACGCCCCTCTCTGTAGATTATTTGTTTACTTAATCGTGCTGTTTTTTAACCAGATTTAACGACGTTGTGACCCGTCACATCTGTCCCCTTTAGAGGACAGATGCCTGTGTGTTATTCTCTCACTCGACCCAACAGGCGTTGAGCTTAAACGTGGTGACCTTTGACCTCGGTGAACAAAGAGGCTGTCAGACTGAACTGTGTGAGCAGCTCTACATCTGCATTTCCGCATTTCAGATCTTTATTGATTTTATTATCTGCACTTTTCTGTCCGGCTGTTGTTTTTGTTGTCATATAGATTTATTTATTTATTTTAATTAATTAATTTATTTATTTTTCTACTCTCGAGACTGTTACACTGAAAACTACTATAATTTTTATAAATAATGTTATTTATTTATTTATTTATTTATTTGTGCTACTTTTATGGCTCTCACTTAACACTAATGGTCCAAAACAACGTTGGACTGTAAAGTTTAATTTTATTTAATGACAATATATTTGTTTTTACCTTTCTTTAAAGCTTTTTGTCTTGTTTCTGTGTAGAAATTTATTTACCATGTAATTATTTATCTACTTTCCTGCTCATGAGGCTCCCAAAGGGGTATTACAATGTTAATAAATAATGTTTTTTAATGATATTTAATGACATTATCTAACTTTTCTCTAACTATTATCTGTTTGCTGTGTATTTATAAGTCTAGACGTGATCCGATTAGAGAGGGCCTGCAGGCCTGGACAGTTTTGGTGAGAAACCTCTTATATAAACGATATCTCAGAACTGTTATATAATAATTACAGTGGTGGGGAAACATAATCAGACACTGTAGAGTTTCAGTAAAGCAGGACACGCTGAGCTCAAACAGCCTGCAGGGCATCTGTCAGCTCTGACCTTTCACCTTCTGTGACTGAGAACAATGTAAGCATTTGGCCAGGACTTTTAAAAAAGGCATTCTGTGTGTAGATTCATTCTGCCAATAAGTATAAAGAGACATTTTTGATATATATATATATATATATATATATATCACTGCTGTTGGAACAAAACCTTGTATCTCCAAAATGGTAACTTTACAGGAGAAGGAAAAAACATACTTTACTTTGAACGTCAATGGAACCAGAATTTTTTTGAAGTCATTTTGGGCCATTTGTTTTAGTCCATTCATCATGAATTTACACATAATATATATATACACACACAAAACAGGTTTTGTAAGGGTCAGAAGGTGGTGGGGTGATTAGGGGTGTTGTCTTCTCTCTCTCTCTCTCTCTCTCTCTTTCTCTGTCACTCTCTGTTCAACTCAGAATGGCTTCATTAACATGACTCTGTGAACTACAGTATTGCCAAAGCATTATAACAGCACTAATGAACAATGAAAATAACTACCAAAACTGTAACAAATAATAACCACATTAATGACTGTAGTTACAATAATAACATCATTATTATTGTTATCCTTCTAATTGTAATTGTCCTTATTAACAAACTAATGATGTATTTGTAACCTTTAACAAAAATGTGTGTGTTGGGGGTCAGAAGGGCGGTGGGGGGATCTGGGGTGTTGCCCCCTTCCCCCGTTTCACTTTATTAAGCCAGGTAAGCATAGATTTGTGAAGTCATGGTTTTATGAGAAGAGAAAACAATAGTAATAATGGTAATAATAATAATAATAATAATAATAATAATAGGTCAACTAGTATTAAAGAACAGATAAACATAGATTTTTGGGGATACATAACTACAGTGTCTGTGTGTGTGTGTGTGTGTGTGTGTGCGTGTGTGTGTGTGTGTGTGTGTTTGTGTGTGTGTGTGTGTACAGTATTGCCAAAACATTCTAACAATGACAGCAATAACAACATGAACGTCTAGCAAATAGTAACAATAACAACATTATTAACTATTTTTAATACAACTATTGTCATTATAATGATTATAATTATACAATGTAGTAAAATAATATTTGTCTACATTTCTTATACAGATGTGTAGTGTTGGGGGGGTCTGGAAGGTGGGGGTCTCTCTCTCTCTCTGTCTCTCTGTCTCTCTCTCTCTCTCTCTCTCTCTCTCTGTTTATAGACAGAAAGGCCACAGAGAGGCTGAGCTGAGCTGACTGGCCTTTGTTGTGAAGGAGAAACAGACCGACAGATGGATGTTTTATAACGGTCGGACAGACGGAGTGGAAGTAGTTTAGCTTGGTTCGACCCAGCGCCTTTATTTCAGTAGTTGTTCTTATTTATTTATTTATTTATTTTGTTCGCAGATTTACAGTAAGATTATTACCGCTAACAGTCGGTGAGCGGAGGCAGCACAGAGGATTCAGAGGACTCCGCTACTGCTGCGGCTTTTTGGACCATTTTAGCCCTTTTAGTTCATTAACCTCACAGAAAACAACCTCGGAATAACACGACTGGATCGACAACTATCCTCAGATACAATCCAGATAGATGATTAACCCTGCTGTGACTTTGGATCCGTTGATTTTCGGTCATGTTCGCGTGTCGGTCGGTTTGTTGTTGTGGCGTTAGCTTAGCCAGCTAGCACAGTTAGTTAGCATTAGCGCAGTCTGCTTTGTGCGGGTTCTTTTCTTTTCCTTGCGCTAAAAATCATGTTTGGGACCCCAAGGAACCTTTTATTCAGCTGAAATGTGCTTTTAAAAGCTTATATAGGCGTTTTAGTAGGTTAACTGCTATAAATGGGCTGCCAAATGTAGCTGTAAGTCAGCTGAATGTAGCCTGATCTATTAGCTTAGGTTAGCTTAGCTTAGCTTCAGTCTAAAGATTCAGCTGAATCGGCTGATGTGAGACATTTAAATTACATTTTGCAGGCCATAAACTATATAAAGCACCCTAGAATTTGTACCAGATAGCGAATAAAGACGGTAGAGTCTGTTTGTTCTAGATACACAAGGTAACCTGAGCTGCTTTAGCCTGAGTTTATATGACAAGGCGAGTAAAATCTTAGTATTGGACATTCATCACATTTATATTTTTAACAATTGCTGCTTTTAGTAACAGTTAACTTCATCAGTACAACTTTTAATTAGATGTTTATTAGGGTTATGGATATATACTGACGTTACAGGAGGTTACAAGTTAAGAGGACAGAACAAAAACAGCCAGATTAAGGCCAGTACATTTACTTTAACCTTATAACTAATTAAACACAAGTTATTATGGCCAGTTTGGACATGAAGACCTCGCTATGGACATGTTCAGTCGCCACCCTCTGCCTAGTCTTCATTGGTAAGTAACATTACTACACTGTTTTCTGAGTATAACCTGCCTTTGAATGTGTTTTCAGCCATGCAAAGTTGGGTTTTGCAGATATTTGGCTTTAGATTAAGCCTTCCTCTCTAAAAAAAGATCAAGAAGTTGTGTGAAAATGTTAGGAAATGTCTGTTTCGTGTGATGGTTGCTTTACTCAGACTGTCAGAGGAAGATCTGTGCTGCATGTGTGAGAGTTAGACACAAAGCCGGCTGAGGAACAAAGACGTCTCTCTATTGTCTGCAGATATAAAGCACAACCAAGCAGCAGCTGGACGCAGCGAGGGAGATTTCAACTTGCCATCATGCTTTTAAAACTCACTGTGACCTGTTTAATGTATTTTGGGATTCTTGTTTTAAGCGTTTTACAGAACTACATGTTCACACTGTTCATTTCGGTCCAAAACAGCTTTATTGGTATGATTGTGTGAAGTACAGTGTTACCAAAGCATCCAAGGCATATTGACAACATTAACAATATCAACAACAATAACCATAGTAATAATTATAAGATTTATTTGTAGGGTTGGTATTAGGGTGGGTGATATGGCAAAAATGCAACATCACCATACTTAAAGACATTTTTAGTACGTGATGTGCATTACGATATTTAGTATTTCAAGGTTTGTTAAGTTGGAACAGACAAAATAAAGAACGAACAGTGGCGCATTTGAAAAATACTATTAATAACTATCAGTGCAGTAGTTTTTATTCAATGTTTCAAACACTGTGCTACACTAAAGTCAATTAAACAGCACTATTTATGCTCTGTTTGTAACAAAACCTGCAGTTGTTCAGTGTTTTGAGTCCTGCTGATATCCATGGTATTCTCAGAAAAGCGTATTGTGAATTTATGTGCCATAATTTATCACTATAACAATAAATACATCATCCATTCGGTGGAAATAATCTTATTATGAGTGTAACAATTAAAAAAGGTCCTAATTTAGTACGATACAGTACAGTGGTGTCTTGATTCAGTGCAGGAGGAATAAGGAGTGCCTGAAAATGTGCCTTGTGTTAATGCTAATGTTTGTTGGTGTTTCCATTTTCACTTTATTAGGGAATTCAACGCTGTAAAAGTACAATATTAGAAACTTTATAATGGCACGGAGGAGTTTAGCCTGTGTAAACAAACAAAATCAAATGTAATGTGTGGTATGAAAAATAAACAAAAAGGAAAAACATGAACTATCTCAGCTTAACCACCACAGCACTGAATGTTTATCCTCTCTGTCAGTCAGTAGCTCCACTGGACATGCCCCAAACTAACGTGCTAGCTATGAGCTTATATGTTAACCCTGAGTTAAAGTGTTAGCTCCAAGCTAACACACTAGTCACAACCTAACACAACCTAACACTTAAAGTTTTGTCAGTACTTCAAGCTGCAGTATGTAAGTTTTGGGGATTTGGAGACCTCTCTGGTGAAAATGTGTAACTGCACACGACGTGTGGACTGACATTTTGTAACGTGGGTTGTGCTTCGCTCCCCTTCCCCAAGCGGATGAATCTGATGATTGAAAGAAAATTCAAAGAGAACTTAGTCAAAACTTGGTGAAGGACCGTCTTCTGATTATTTGAGTGAAATATCTACTATCATAATCACATCTTCATCAGTATGGTGTTGATTTTGAGATCATTTGAGACCTAAACATCGAGCCGGACCTTCTTTTTGAGTCTGCACGTGTGACGTTAATACGTCAAGACATACAACGTGGTGTGGAAAAACTCACGACGCGACGCCTCTGACTGTTAAATGATTATTTCAGGCTTTACAGGGCGACTCACAGCAGCGCACACTCACCATATTTTAGACTGTTTTTATTCTCCTCACTCAGTAATGAGACTTCAGTTTAGTTTTAACAAAAAATTCTTACATAGAGGAACTTTAAAAAGCATACATAGTCCTGATTAACTGGATTTAGTGCAGCACAGAATATGAAATATTGAAGAAATATCATTGTACTCATAGTTTTTGATCATATTTGTTCAAACTTATCTGTTCCGTTCCAGCCAACTTATCAAACCTTGGAAGAATGGATATTCATATGGTTCATATTGTGTATCGTGGAAATTAGGGCTGGACAGTATATATCATTATTCTGATAAATTCTGTCACGATGCGATATGCTTTTCTGAACATATTGTGTACATCGTCAGTACTTGCAGAACACGGACCAACTGCTTGTTTCATTATGGAGAGACCAAAATTAGTCATGTTTTTTTCTGGATTTAGTGCCAAATACCGAATAAAAATCCAGTAGTATTGTAGTACTGCTGTGTCTGATCCACTCAGACCAGCGCAACACACACTAACACACCACCACCATGTCAGTGTTACTGCAGTGCTGAGAATGATCCACCACCCAAATAGTACCTGCTCTGTGAGGGTCCATGGGGGTCCTGACCACTGAAGAACAGGGTAAAAGGGGGCTAACAAAGTATCAGAGAAACAGATGGACTACAGTCTGTAACTGTAGAACTACAAAGTGCACCTATACAGTAAGTGGAGCTGATAAAATGCACAATGAGCGTAGAAACAAGGAGGCGGTCATAATGATTGGTCTTTATTGTTTATTGTGAAAATTTCTTAAAAGATTGCAATACTGAATTTTTGCCGTATCATCCACCTCTAGTGGAAATGGCATTATGTATTGTGATAATGCATTTTTGCCACCTACAATATGATGTGTTGGGTTGTTACACCCCTCCATTTCACAGTAGACGTCTGCTGGACTATTTAATAACGTAGCTCATGTTACGTGAGTCTGTTTAGGAGCAGTTTTTGGACTCTGCCCGTCCCTTGTTGGAGGGCATTTGTTGGTTCCCTGGCCTCAGTGTTCAGCTGTCTATGGACAGGAAAATATCAGTTGTGCGTATCAGTTGTTGCAGTTGTTCATGATCAGCATGAGGGGAGAGGCTGTGACGGGTTCCTGCATGTCGTTTGTTCACCCTGCTGTGAGGAAAGAGCAGTTAGTCAACAGATTTTTGCTCTGTGTCCAGTTGTCCAAGAGTATAAAATCTTCATTACAAGTATAAACACTAAGAAAAAAACAGTGTGGAACCCTTTAATTGGCTTTAATCGCATCAGAAAGCTAGCAGTGCTATCGTAAAGGAACCTGCGCTGCAGTTCAGATGCCGTGTGGCATATATAGAACCTGAATAGACTGGAGAGCCACACTAATAGTTAACAAATTAAGGCATCTTTCATAATCAGTTTCATAATCACAGCACAACTGGCTGCATATTGTTTCACTATTAACCCAGATGCTCATGGCTATATAGAATGTAGCTGTTCAGACTGCTGTGTCATCCACTGTGGCCTTTCATGTTCGTTCATGTTTTCCGAGTGGCTTTCAGTTCTTCTTTCAGTTTTCAGGAATTGGATGAACCTCAGCAGTTGGGCTCAGTTTGTCTCAGCTGGTCTTGTTCCAGTAATAACATAGTCGGACATGAATCGCTAGATTTTTAGGTACTTTTTATGGGAAATTACATTTATTGAGTGCCTTTTCTTTTCTCTCCTCAGGAAATGCAGCTTGCTCACAGCACAACGACAATGTTTATGTATCAGGAATTTCTAACGGTGAGTCATGATTTTTTTTTTCTTTTCTTTTTTGAGTGACGCAGTAGTGAAACTTTGTTACTGAATATGGACTAGCTCCATTAAAAACTAATTTCTGTAGCCATTAAAGCACCATTAAAGTGTTTTCTCCAAAACCTTCCAACCCTAAGGGCCTGTATGAGGGTCCACACGTCAGTTCTCATAACTACAGAACTTGCATATTCATTTTATAGATATAGATACTGAAATATTTCATAGAAGATACTGAATAATTAATTGTAGGTACTGAGTAATTCTTGGTAGATACCGAGTAATTCATGGTAGATACTGAATAATTCATTGTAGATACCGAGTAATTCATGGTAGATACTGAATAATTCATGGTAGATACTGAATAAATCATAGGAGATACTGAATAATTCATAGTAGATACTGAGTAATTTGTAGTAGATACTGAGTAATTTATCATAGTAGATACTGAGTAATTCATAGTAGATACTGAGTAATTTATCATAGTAGATACTGAGTAATTTTTCATAGTAGATACTGAGTAATTTATCATAGTAGATACTGAATAATTCATAGTAGATACTGAGTAATTCATAGTAGATACTGAGTAATTCATAGTAGATACTGAGTAATTTATCATAGTAGATACTGAGTAATTCATAGTAGATACTGAGTAATTTATCATAGTAGATACTGAGTAATTTATCATAGTAGATACTGAGTAATTTATCATAGTAGATACCGAATAATTTATCATAGTAGATACTGAGTAATTTATCATAGTAGATACTGAGTAATTTATCATAGTAGATACTGAGTAATTTATCATAGTAGATACTGAATAATTTATCATAGTAGATACTGAGTAATTTATCATAGTAGATACTGAGTAATTTATCATAGTAGATACTACTATATCTTATCCTAAATAGTGAATTCATAACAATTACAGAATATTTTGTGATAGTTACTGATCAGTAACTCTTTGTGTTTCGTTAGCTTGCGGAGATGTGGTGGAACAGATCAGGGCGTCCAGCGGTGTCATCACCAGTCCAGGCTGGCCCTTTGAGTATCCGTCCCGCATTAACTGCAGCTGGAACATCAGGGCCAATCCTGGAGAAATTATCACCATCAGGTAGAGTGTTTTGCAACACTGCAGTAAAAACATTAACGGGAAATTCCACTAATTGTTCTGAATGTCTGCATAATTCAGTGTTTGAGATGTAAACAGAGTCATTCAGAGTGGTTTGGTGTGAAATGGTTCAGATGTCTTTACAGTGGTGGTGATAGGAACCAGGGGTCGCCATGACTACAACACAGATATAGACATTTTATTTACTATCCAGAACCACCAGTGAACCTACACGAGTCTTCTGAGTTTATATGGAATGTTGATGATGGAAAATAGTGGAAAATCTGAAATAAGTTTTCTTTGGGGACTATTTTGTCTCACAGCGCCCTGCATGTAACCTTCCACCATTTTAAGGCCAAAATCTTCTCAAAACTATCATAAAACAGTGTCTCAGACATCATGCAATTCATAACCATTTCATGTAATACTTTTCTGTGAAGGAGCTTTTAGAGGTGGACGTCTGGTTCCTATCACCACCACTGTGAACAGTTCTGACTCCAAGTTTCTTTAGAACTGAGTATTTTACACCAAACCGCTCTGAACAACTTACATCATGACCATTTAATTATGCAGGAATTTAAAAAAGTTGGTGGAATTACCCTTTAGCATGTTACCACTGTATGTTGGCTGACTTAAAGTTTGAGAATCATAGAATATATTGAAAGTACTTTGGACCAGAGGTGATTTAAACAGCCTACAGGTCTGAGAAGATTCACTGAGTGCCCTTTGGCTTTATTCACTGTCACAAATATTTACCACTTTTAGCCAGTTTTGGATTAATTTAAAGGGATATCATGAATGTCTGAATTTCACTTGCTTTTTTGAAATAAAGAGTTTGATGTGGTGTTAAAGTTTCAAAATGCTCTGTTCACCCAGTCCATATATGAAAACTAGGCTGCAAAAACAGCCTATTTTTGTTATGTCACCAAAACCAGCACATTTACATATAGCCACCTATTCAGGCTGCAGCAGTTTAATCCTATCCACTCATACTGAAGTTACAAGGAGTGTTTCAGCCTGGACTGCTTTTTGGTTGAGTCTCAATACAGAACAGCCCATCAGAACAGAGCTCATTTACATGTATCAGTCTTAAAGGCACAGTAAGCAAAACAGCCTGATTAATTGTGAGGGATAACGAGAGGCTGGAAACATGGATTATGGCTGTTGGTGGTGGAGATGTACATGGAAGGTGTTCAAAGGCAAAATAGACCCCAAAGAAAACATTTTTGCCACTATTTTACCACTATTTTACCACCATCAGCGTTACATATAAATAACAGAAGACACAAAAAGGTTGACTGGTCTTTTCGGATAGTGAATAAAATGGCTGTATTTGCATTGTAGAAATTGAGATGCCTGATTCTTATCAGCACCACTGTACTATTTCCCTTTTAAGGTACTGTAAAAGAAAACATTAGCATTGTTTATTTGAGTTTAACCCCTTAAATGGCCAGGCTCCACTGGCAAGCCCAAATGTTGTATTACATGCGTCTATAATCCAAGAATAGCTCAGCCAGTTTGCATTGAAGTCCATGTAGTTACTGAATAATAAGCAGGTAACTTAGCAGGTAATAAACCTGGGATTTTAAGGGGTTAAATCCATGCAAATGTCATAAATGTACCTCATGGAGGGGTAAAATGAGGGAAAATGTAGGATAAAGGCCCTTTAATGTACAAAATTGTGGAAATATTTGGCAAATTTGTACAGTAATATTGTATTGCAGTTTGAGTGCTGTCCTTTTGTTTTAGTGTTGTGCTGTGTTGCTGTCCTCTGCGTGAACAGTGGCCTGCTTGCGTCTTTATCCCAACATCGTGTCCATGGTTACCAGCACAGAAATAGACACACACAGTCTTTTTTTCCACGGGATGTGATTTTATGGGGAACAAAATATGAAATGCTCGGTAACTGAGACCACAAATAGGCTCAACCTCTGAGGCATCGTCTCAAGACTCTGTGACTAACTGGCACAAGTTCCTCTCTGACATCCTCAAAACTAGTACCACTTATTCTTTATGCTTGAGTACAAAAATAATGACTTTTATTTAAACCCAAATCATCTGCAGGATGTTATTTGACATATACATTTGATTTCAGGCACTCTTTCAGATACGTAACACTTTCTTTCTCACTTTCTTTCTCAAGTCACAGGTTTTGTTTAGGGGAGGTGTCACTAATTTTACTCGTAACACTTTAAAATACGAAAATCACACCTCACTATAAAACCCTCTTTTCATCTTTGCACTCCTCTGTTTGCACCTACGAGCTGTTGATAAGCTTCTCTTGCTCAGCTGCTTCACTATTTTGAAACAGAATGTTTGGATACTTCATTTAAATCCCTGATTTAAAGAGTAATACACTCTAAAGCACAATACGGAAATTAGGATTGTGCATTTCGACTAATTTTTCTATTCAAGTATCTGTAAGGTTTAAGGTATGAATTAGTGCTGGGCGTTATGACCTCAAATCAATATCACGATTAATTAAATGTTGTAGCTCGATTACGATTAATGAACGATTTTTTTGTTTGTTTTTTTTGCCCTCATAGTTCACTGACAGGGTTTGTACTGTAAATATGTTCTGCATATCTTAATGTAAATCGTCTCAACAGCCAGATCAGAATTCGCACGGCTTTTATGTCAATCCAACTCGACAATCGTCATAATTTTGCGCTGCTGAGACTCATAAACATTTGGGGCCATTCCACCTTAAATGGTGCAGCAGTTACATTCTGGCATCTCAGGCTCCTTTTAAGGTGGAATGAGAACAAGAAGCTGGTGAATGAGAAGCGACTTCAGCTTTGTAGTCAAACATTTCACAAGAAACTCTTCGACTTTTGAGGAAAAGTTTCCTGCTGGAGATGTGAGAAAAGCAGCTATAGCTGAGCTAAAGCTTAAAGCAGAGCAAAGTGAGTCTACGTTTCGTTTCTATTATATTTTTAGCCTTTACTAGTTCATCAGCACAGACTGAGACATATTTACAGCCAAGATGGTAAAATGAACATTAAATGTTGTGGCTCCCAAGATGGTTTGATTCTTGTTGGAAGGACAAAATGGCTCTTATTAACATTTGGGTTGCGACCCCTGGCCTAGCGTCTCTATGTAAACAAACTCTTTGTTTTTGTGCAGTTTTCAGGATTTTGAGATTCAAAGCTCGCACCGCTGTGGATTGGACTGGATCTCCATCGGTACCTATAAGAACCTGGATGGTTATCGCGCCTGCGGCTCATCCATCCCAGCTCCGTACATCTCCTCTCAGGACCACGTGTGGATTAAGTTCCACTCAGACGACAGTCTGACCGGCAAGGGCTTCAGGCTCTCTTACATAACAGGTACTGCAGAAAAGCTGCTATTTATAGCCCTGATAGCGGCCACTAAGTCAGAGATAAAGCTGTCACATGGCGGTTTCGCTCTTATGTGCTTTACGACTGCAGGGAAAAATCTTTCTCTTACAAATCCCCGTCATCTTTTTACCGTCTGCCTCTTTTTATGTGGCATTCTGTGTATTACTTTTAGGAACTAAGTAATCAAAATGTTATTTATATCACACTTTTAAAACAAATAGTGTTAAAACAAAGTGCCGTCTTTGCATGACGTATCACAAACGGATGAAATGAGAGCATCTAATCAATGTTAATGATTAAAAAAAAAATTTCACAGCTCCCTTTCACATTCACGTTTATTTTGGCTACTAATCTGTATATGCGTTGTTATGATGTTAACAACATAATATCTTGTTTGGATCTGGTTTCATGGCACCAGGTGTGATCTTATAACGAGAACGTCTGAGGACAACCATGGGAAATTTTGGGGGTAAATTTGCATACATGCAAACTTGAAATTCACCATGGTGAGTGCTAAATATGCTGTTCATACGGAGGAAGGAGGAGGAGAGGGGTTTTTACTGCCAACAGAGCATTCAATGCAATAGCAAGCAAGCAAAGTTTATTTATGTAGCGCTGTTTACAACAGGTGTTGTCACAAAGCAGCTTTACAAAGAAATCAGCATTACAGAAAGAAATCCGGGTCCGAGCCCCCATGAGCGTCGCCAGTGGCGACAGTGGCAAGGAAAAACTCCCTAAGAGAAACAGGAAGAAACCTTGAGAGGAACCAAGACTCAGAAGGGGAACCCGTCCTCTTCTGGTCGACACCGGATAGCAAACATTGTTAGTACAAAAACAGGGAAAACAGGTGGAGCAAATGATTAATTTGATTAGTTTAGTTCATGCAGCAGCATCAGTGGGGTCAGGTTGGGAGGGTGAGGTTGAGAGGGCTGGCAGCAGTGGCACCCGATCAAGGCAGAAGAGGCAGCAGCATCAGACGCACAGGATGGGCAGCTGTTCAACTCGGCAAAGAAAAGAAAGAAAGGAAAAACACACAAAGTCAGTTCTGTAATGGGTGACTGACAGAACTGAGAGTCAGTTCTGTAATGTGTGTCAGTTCTGTAATGGGTGACTGATCACAGATTACAGTGTTAGCAGAGCAGCGGAGACTCTGGCAGGTATAGAACCAACAGGGAAAACTAATGACCAAAGGCTTGAATATACAAGTAAGTTTTTAGCCTAGACTTAAACACTGAGGCAGTGTCTGAGTCCCGAACATTAACAGGAAGACTATTCCAAAGCTGGGGAGCTTTGTATAAGAAAGCTCTCCCCCCTGACGTAAGTCCCTCATGTCCCCCAAAGACAGCACAAACATTATCCAGTTACTCCACAGATATAGTATTTAATTTTCACTAGATATTCAGAACTGAGTTAACATTACTGAAAAAGCGAGAAGAAAGCCGTGTTTCCCCTTAGCAGTGAAGTTGACTTCAATTTCACCCATTTGAATTCCATCAGTAGATTTTGAACAGTGGCTGAAAAGGGTTAATGCGTGTAAATAGTCATTGTTTGCAACCAAGACAATCAGCTGCCACTTCATTTTTGTGTGAAATTGATTTCATTGGCTATCATAATCGCTATGAGAGCTCAGCAGTCATCTAGGAATTACATCGCAAATGGCGGTCATCAGGGTCCAACGCTTCACGTTGCTCCAGATTTCAGAAATGATGTGGAAAGTGGCCTCTGTTTACAATGAATGGATCTCAGGAAGGCACCTGCCAGATTCCCATGAACGTATCTGTTTTCATAGTTAAACTCGAACTAAATTCATTGAATTAAATTTTTTTGAGGTCAAAATTTTTTAAAACGCTTAGTTTGAGGTTTTTCCGCCATTTTGCCCCTCTGAGTGGATTAAACTAAATAACGGAAATAACAGTGAATACAAATTCAAAATGTATCTCATGTAGTTTATGGCACGGGGTGAAACAAAACCGAGCCAACATAAGAAAACAATGAAGAATTTCTTAAGGAAATCATAAGAAAATAATTAATCTTAAGAGAGTATCTGAGAACTTAAGTTTTTTTGAGAACTGCATTTAAGAACTTTCTTATGAACTTCTCAGTATTTGTCTTAAGAAACTTTGCAAGTTTTTTTCTTAAAGCTTTTGTGAATCCGGCCCCTGCTTTCCTGAGACAGATGCAGGTCGCTTGTGATCAAGTGTTAACAAAGTGAGCCAAACAGTTCAGCCTACTAAGCATTTCTGGTCAACTGAAAGAAAGAAAATGCTAAGAAGTGAAGTATTATGAATCATGCTATGATTTTGATGTCCACATTCAAACACTTTCGTCTCATGTGGTGTCAGTTAGTACAGATAGCCTACGCTGGCTGAGCGCTGGGTGATACTGGCTCCTTTGCTTTTGTGAATGTAGTTTGCATGACCATGCAAACCAGATTAAACCTGCTTCCTGCCTGCTCTCACTTTAAAACACACCAGTGACCAGTCGAAGGCTGCCTGAGCCACACTGGGTCATTTTATCGCCATTGGTGTGAAGAGATCTTGTCTAGCCCTGCAATTACTCTGGATCATGCTTTAAGGGAACTAACAGCAGTCCAGAACTGAGACACTGGCAGCAATTACAAACAACCACTTATTGACAGGTGGTTTCGTTTGAGCATGTTGAAGGTGATCCAGCATGCGAAGTTCAACTAAACTCTAAAGCCCGTGTGTCAAACACAAGTCAGGCCCAATCCTGGTAGCTCATTTCACCATGAGCTGCACTACAGTTCCCAGCATGCATGACAAACGTTATGTGTGCTCCCACCCCCTCCCCAACAATGATTTATGGGACAGCACCACAGAAAAAAAACATTCCGGGTGTCTAGTTCAAGCGAATGGGAAGTTTAAAGAATGTTTTTTTTTTATGTACAATTATTTTTGAATTGTATAAGTATTCAGTGCTTATTTTTTGCTATTGCTATATATATATATATATATATATATATATATATATATATATATATATATATACACATACACACACACACACACACACACACACACACACACACACACACACATATATGGCCCTTTTAGTGGTTGAGTTTGACACCCCTGGTCTAAAGCTACACAGTACAGTAGAGGATTAGAGAGAGAATTAGGTGCCTTTTTTTGGTGATTGGTGTCACAACGTAAATAAAGAACGTTTACTTCTTTCAGCAGAGCATATTTATTAACAAGCTGAAGTTTCAAGGTTATTAAAGTCTTAAAAATAAATTATAGTAGGGAAGCACAGAGGCTCTGTTAAGCCGTGAGCTTTTAAAAGCTGGACAAAAATATAACCTTTGTGTTTTCAGTGATGTACCAATATGAGAACCACAGGGGACAATATTCCGGCACGCACAGGCTTGTTAATGCAACTTGAATCCTTTGTGAAAACCAACAAACACAAGACTTTTTCATGGACGAGACGTTTCCAAGTGCAGTAACAGGGTCGAGGTTCAGCCGCATGCCAACCCAAAACGGCCCTGGTGTGAGTAATGGCCACCGGCGCTATTCTCACGCTCCCTGATGATGTCTAATGCAGATTTTTAGTGAAACTTTCTTTTTTTGGCCCACAAAGTGGAGCTCGAGTGGCTCATTGAGTTCATATGGTATCGATTTGCGCCACTGCTTGGTTGTTTTCCTCCCCTGCAGCGATATTTATTTCTAGCCAGAAGACTCAAAGGATGCTTTCACATATCAGTCAGTGTAAAATATGTAAAATACTTAAATAGAGACGGGCTGGCCTCTGTTCTGAAATGTGGTCACTGGAAACGCTGGATAGAGTTCAGCAGATAGTGAGTTTATGACGGCGTTATTTTCAGAAGGGTATAATTAGCTGCGGTAAATGTTCTGTTGAGGTTTCATTGAGGATCTGCCCATAATGTGAGAGGAGGAACTTCAAAGAAGTAAACTCTGCCCTTTCATTGAGTATTTGAGCAGTGTTTGAGTCTGGTTTTGGTGTTTCTGCTCTCTATTTTTACTGTACTGGAGTTGACAGCACTGATTCAGTCAACACGTTCCTTTTTTATTTAATACTATGGTTATTACTGCTTTTATTATTAATTGTAGTAGTAGTGTTATTGTTTGTGCAACTTTTTATATATGTATTTAAATGCAAACACTTACATAACACTTTTTAGTTGATCTCCTTTGTTCCTTCTGTCTCCCTTGCTTTTGTAAACAAGTAAACAACATGCTTTTATTGTAAATTTTCATAAATTGGTATATTGTTAACCCCTCAAGCCTAAGGGGTTACATATGAACCCACACTTTTATTTCTCATTCTCAAAACAATATAAATTACATGTTTTGTAGCAGTTTTCGAATTTATTTGTAGAAAATACTGATTAGTATTTCTTGTTTTATTCAATTTATATTTTTTAAATAATATTTTAAGGTTAGTAATAAAAGTGGGGGGTTAAAATGAATTTAATAAATAATAATAAATAAATAAATGCTATGAAACAATTAATTGTTATTGTAAAAAATGAAAGTTAAAGTGAATGAAATAACAAAAACGTTTTGTTGATTCTCAGGGAAATCTGAGGAGCCCAGTTGCGAGTCTGATCAGTTTCACTGTGGCAATGGAAAATGCATCCCGGAGTCATGGAAGTGCAACACGATGGACGAGTGCGGCGACAATTCGGACGAGGAGCTGTGCGTTCAGCCAAATCCCTCAGCCTTCTTCTCTTTCCAGCCCTGTGCCTTCAACCAGTTCCCCTGCCTGTCCCGCTACACCCGCGTCTACACCTGCCTCCCTCAGTCTCTGAAATGCGACGGCAGCATAGACTGCCAGGACCTGGGCGATGAGATCGACTGCGACGTGCCTGTCTGCGGCGAGTGGCTTCGGAACTTCTACGGAACCTTCAGTTCGCCCAACTACCCGGACTTCTACCCGCCCGGCAGCAACTGCACCTGGCTGATCGACACCGGAGACCACCGCAAGGTCATCCTTCGCTTCATGGACTTCAAGCTGGACGGCACGGGTTACGGAGACTACGTGAAAGTTTACGACGGTTTGGAGGAGAATCCTCGGCGGCTGCTACGTGTTCTGACCGCCTTCGATTCTCGAGCTCCGGTAGCCGTCGTCTCGTCCTCCGGCCAGCTCCGCGTCCACTTCTACGCAGACAAGATCAATGCGGCGCGAGGCTTTAACGTCACCTACCAGGTGGACGGTTTCTGCCTGCCCTGGGAGATCCCCTGTGGCGGGAACTGGGGCTGCTACACCGAACAGCAGCGCTGCGACGGGTACTGGCACTGCCCCAATGGCCGCGACGAGCTCAACTGCAGCAGCTGCCAGGTAGGAATGAACGGTGATCATTGTAGAGAACTTATCATGTGTATAATCATGTGTATTGTGAGTTTGTAGTGGACAGAAATTTATATCACAGTTAGGGCTGGGCGATTAATCGAAAAGTAATCGAAACCGACATTCAGAACTTCTAACCGACGTAATCTTGCCCATGTTGGTTATTTAGATTTTTTTAAATTCGGTTAATCCTTTCCCCACTCTGTGTGTTCATGTACTGTCCTCTTAAAAACTTACTACTGCGCGTGTATCGTGACTCCTCCACGTCCACTCTGCAACATGGAAGCTCAGGCTGTGTTCACACAGCAGGTAAAAGTGGCCCAAATCTGATTTTTTCACCAAATCTGATTTTGTTGTTTGGCTGTTCAGATTATCTTTTAAATGTGATCTGTATGCGACATCAGTCTGAACAGATCAGCTCCTAAACTGACCCTCATGCGCTAAAGATCAGAGCGTCACGCTGCTTCACGACTCATCCAGAGGTAAACAATCACGACCGCCAACGAACGCCAGTCGCTCCCGGAGGATCAGCTTCATCTTCACCAGCATCACAGGAGCCATCATGAAGCTTCAATGACTGACAGCTGGGCTCATCACCCAGAATGTGTCCGAGCCGTAAAAAGGGCGCGGTCACTTCTTTGGTTCGCGTCCTCGGATTCTTTAAACTTCGCTTTCAGACCTTTAACTGTTCTTTGACGCTGCAGCCTCGTTCTCCTGCGGCCGCGTTCGGACATTTCTTTCAGAATCTCTTCAAACACGGAGGGTTTGGATGAGTCTCTTCTAATTTTCGTACAGAAATATCACCCCAAATGTCTCAGCAGTGCGAAATTATGGCGAATGTTGAGTTAGATCTGGCTGTTGAGACGATTTACATTAACAGAAACACTGAGAAACTGCTAATTTGATGCGCCAGCGCGTTCGTCGACCCCAGAGGGCTAAGCCAAGGCTAGTCCCTGAAAAAGTAAAGACTACTTCAGATGCAGCCGAGTACATAGCAAAAGGTGACGGAGGCTCTGCTGTGGTTTCATTTTTGTTTGAAACGTGCTGGAAACATCCCTGACTCAGACACTCAGCTAAAGAGGATAGCATGGTTTGCGCTGTTTGTATGCCACATGGCATTTGGAAGAATTTCAACCTGAACCGAAGAACCAGAATTCCACTCAGTACTTTTGTCAGTGCTCGGGCCTGAGACAGATGACGTTTGACTAATAAAACTGGCCAGAGTTAAGGCTCCACAGATCTTACCACCACTGCCGAAAATCTTACCAGTAAAGTATTAATAATGTTATATAAGAAAACTACATTTGGGAATGTGATGAAATTGGAGCGACCATACACTGAGAGAAGTCTTGACTGACGTGATTTATATTTGGCTTATTTTATATTTTTTTATTTAAGAATAATCTGCTTTTCATTCTGAGTTTAATGAATGTCAGTTTTTTTGTGATCAAGAATTTTAATTGTTTCACAAGATAATAAACAACAAGGGGATAGGGAGCCAAAACAAAGACGAAGTATATGACATGGACAGCAGGAGTGGTCATCACGAGGTACAATCATCATCACAGACAAAAGTAAATAAAGGAGGAGGTGTCCGTATTCACGGCAGACCTTTCAGGAAATCCAAAATATGTTAGGCAAAAGTTTTCCATGTTTCAACAGTCATGGGCTTAGCACAGGTTACGTCGCACAGCAATACATTCAAGTTTTGCTGTGTTGAGTAAATAAATGTCACAGCTGAGGATGAATATTGAAGCCAGTATTCTTGGTTATCAGCTCCTTAAAATCAGTATCGGTAAACATTTTCCAATTGGTCAGGCCCTGATTGAATGTCAGTCTATTATGCCATTCTTACTTTGGTCATTTATTTTTACTGATTATTTCTAATCATACTGACAGTTTTTCATTGCCTTCTTTATGCATGTCGCTGCTGTCGGAAGAAAACCTCCTATCTCCATTTTTGTCGTTTTTCAGTTTTTGACATAATTTGAAAATGTCTGTTACCCTTTACATTGTATGTAAATGTCATGATGGATGGACTAAAAGAAACGACCTAAAATTACTTGGAAAAAATTCTGGTTCCATTGACTTACATTAAAAGAAAAGTATGTTTTTTCCTTCTCCTGTAAAGTTACCTTTTTGGAGATAGACAACAGTGATATATTCCATTCTGACTTCTTTGCAAACCTCAGAAAAACTTCATGTATGTCTTCAGGTGTTGTAAGGTTTGTTGTTCTATGTCTCCTACAGGAGGATGAGTTCCCCTGCTCCCGTAACGGCGCCTGCTACCCTCGCTCCGATCGCTGCAACTACCAGAACCGCTGCCCCAACGGCTCCGACGAGAAGAACTGCTTCTTCTGCCAGCCTGGAAACTTCCACTGTAAGAACAACCGGTGCGTGTTCGAGAGCTGGGTGTGTGACGCGCAGGACGACTGTGGCGACGGCAGCGATGAGGAGAGCTGCCCGGTCATCGTCCCCACGCGGGTCATCACGGCCGCGGTTATCGGGAGTCTGATCTGCGGCCTGCTGCTGGTCATCGCTCTCGGCTGCACCTGCAAGCTCTACTCTCTCAGGATGTTCGAGCGCAGGTGAGGTTCTTTCAGCAGCTGCAGGAGCCACGAGTAACGTTTGCTACGCTTGTGCTCAGAGTCTTATTGTCGTTTTATACTAGATAAACTGTCATTTGTCCATGTTATGATGCCCTGAATGGGGTTTGTGTGCATCCTGCTTAATTTGCATATTCATCAGTTTTTTGGATGACTTGATGAATAAGTGATATGTGATCTATAACAGTGTATTCCCTGGGTCAGTATATTTCAAACGCACCTCCTCTTTAGTAGCCTTTGGCCGATAATTGATATATAATTAGAATTGAAGATCACAATAATTTAAATATTATTTAAATTATAAATTATTTTAATCTTTTACATGCTGTTTTTTTTTCTTTTTTCTGCTTCATCTTCATTTAACCATTTAATTTGTACAATCGTTCCAGTCTATGATTAGTTAAAAAATATATGCAACAGAAAAAAGATTGCACTTAATTACAGGCTGTACAAGCAGAACATCAACTAGCTAACAGCACACTTACCTACATTGAACGCCACCTAAAAGGATGAATAAAATGTAGATTTTTCAGTGTGGCAGTATTCCCTTTGGTGAAGAACCACTTGATGAGTCTGACATACCGTCTGTGAAGAATATAATTATCACTCTCAATTAAGTAATGAAGTAATATTGGTTAAAAGTTAGCCTGGTTGTTAATTATTGTAATTATATTATAATTCACACAGTGGAAGTTTCCTTATATAATTCATCCTTCAACCCTGAAGGTTGCCGCACAGACTGTCACCATAGCAGCGCAGGCAACAATCTCGTCTAGCTAGTAGCTAACGAAACGGCACAGAGAGAGATTCAAGACGAACATCGATAATTTTTAGACGAACAGACTTATTTGTAGTTGTAAGCACTCAGCTGGTCTCCTGATACGTTTAATCTGCAACGAGAACTCAAACACTAAAAAGTCACGAGGCTGAATTCAGCTTCACATTCGCCAGCTTCTTGTTCGAATTGTCCCGTTCCACCTTAAGTGGTAGCTACGTTCTGGCATCTCAGGCACCATTTAAGGTGGAACGGGAGAATTCATACAAGAAGCTGGTGAACGAGAAGCGACTGCTGCCTCATAAAAAGTCGAACGTGGAGAGACGTTTTACAAGAAACTGTTCTACTTTTGTGGAAAAGTTTCCTGCTGGAGATGCGAGAAAAGCCGGTAAAGCTTAAATCAGAGCAAAGTAAATCTGCGTTTTCATCTGTATTTTTAGTCTATACTAGTACATCAGCACACACTGAGACATATTTACAGCCAAGATGCTAAAATGGACATAAAGTGTTGTGGCTCCCAAGGTGGTTTGATTTTTGTTGAAAGGACAAAATGGCCCTTCTTAACATTTAGCTTGCGACCCCTGGTCTAGGGTCAAGGTTCTGTAACACTCATACGTGGTACTTTTGCAGATGGTTATCGCTTTGATCTAAATTTACAAGCTTACTCTTTAGGCATACTGAAAAGTCTGTATGAATCCATGAAAAAAGCATGAATAAAGTGAAATTAGAACTGTCTGAGTCTGCATTGTATAATGTCCATTGTATGCTTTTAACTTTACCTCAGGTCCTTTGAGACCCAGCTGTCCAGAGTTGAGGCAGAGTTACTGAGAAGGGAAGCTCCACCTTCATATGGGCAGCTTATTGCTCAAGGCCTAATCCCTCCAGTAGAGGATTTCCCAGTCTGCTCTGGTAACCAGGTGAGATGTCACCTTTTAGAAGTCTAAAGTGGCCAGATTTGCTGGTTATTTTGCTTTCTAGCTGTTAATACTTAGTAGCTCAGCGTCGCCCTCTGCAGGGGTTACAGCACCAGTCAGAGGATAGATTTTTTTGTTGTTTTTGTAAGATCAGTGATGTGTTGTTTTCTGCTTTTTTGATATTTATTTACCTCGACCCAACAAATGATAATGTGCCCAGTTCACACTGTGTGAGGTAACAACTGTGGAAGATGACTGGGATCAGCTCAAATATTTCTGTAACAATTTATTTGGAGTGGTCCTTTGTAGATGATTAATAAACTCTTAACAGGTCATCAGTAACACGTCAACAACACAAAGGACCTGAATACACTGATGTAAATATCTTGTAGATGTTCTGTTGATAAATTACTTACATTAAGTAGATGTGTTGTTAATATACGCAAAGCCTAACCTTACCAACCTTACCCAACACCTAACCCTCACCCAAAACCTAATCCTAACCCTCTCCCTGGCCCTAATCCTAACCCTCACCCTGGCCCTAATCCTAACCCTCTCCCTGGCCCTAATCCTAACCCTCTCCCTGGCCCTAATCCTAACCCTAACCTTAACCTCAACCCAAAACCTAATCCTAACCCTCTCCCTGGCCCTAATCCTAACCCTCACCCTGGCCCTAATCCTAACCCTCTCCCTGGCCCTAATCCTAACCCTCTCCCTGGCCCTAATCCTAACCCTAACCTTAACCTCAACCCAAAACCTAATCCTAACCCTCTCCCTGGCCCTAATCCTAACCCTCATATGTTTTTGACATGTTTCTGGGAGTATGTTGAGTGTTTGTTTCATCTAGAAGAACCACTCAAAATAAAGTGTCACCAATATTTCTGATCAGGCGATTATGCAATAATTGTAACAGGCCTACTTGCTGTATCTGTATAGAGTTTAAATGTAATTAACCCCTTAAATGGCCTGCTGGCAAGTCCAGGTATCATTCCTCACTCAAATATCTTTAGAATAACTCAGTAGTTTGCATTGTTTTCCATGTATTAACCCTTAGGATGTAGTAAGACTGGGATTTAAATGGGTTGAAAGACATATTCAGCACAAAATTAATTAATCCAGACATATTTCATCAGCCAAGATGTGTTTGGTGTCCGATAGTTAACGAGCTGTTTGTTCTCTGACAGGCCTCTGTGCTGGAGAACCTGCGCTTGGCTGTGCGGTCACAGCTCGGCTTCACCTCCATCCGCCTCCCGACCTCCGCTCGTCATGGCAACATCTGGCGGCGTCTCTTTAACTTCACTCGCTCCCGCCGCTCCGGTTCGCTGGCGCTGGTGTCCGCCGACACCGAGGAGGGCTCGGGCAGCTCCGGCCGCGACCATGACCGTTTGGGGGCTCACCGTGGCCTGCTGCCGCTCGATTCCGATGACACAGACACCGAAAGCGAACAGCAGCCGCGACGGGACGCCCCTGGTGCCGTCGGGGGTCTAGCGGCTCCGCCCCTTCCTCACAAAACCCCGCCCACCACAGCAGTAGAGGCCATCGTCTCTGTTTCCAGCAGCTCCTCCTCCGCCCCTCTGGCCAGCCGCGAAGGCAGCATTGCAGAAAGTGTAACAGACAGCAGTGGGGTGAGTGAAGGATGTGGTGTGGTGCCCCCCAGTGGGGGAAGGAGCCCTTTCAGCAGCGCTTTAAGCCGCGTCACACGGAGCCTCCGCTGGGTCCGCTTCAGTCTCGGCCGCTCTTCCGCTTCTGGGTCTGGCTCGGGCCAGCAGAACCAAAGCCCGCTGCGGCAGCTGGAGCATGGCACTGCGGGGGGCGCCAGCGGGAGCAACAGAGGCGAGGACGAGGATGACGTTGAGCTGCTGATTCCAGTTTCAGACGCAGGCTCGCTGGACAGTGACTCCAACGAAAGCGCAAGGCCGTTGCTGGAGCCTGGAGCAGACCAGGCTTTCGGAACGCAGCCGAACCCCGCATCCCGGGGCAGGCCGGTGTGCCGGGATGGACCCTGTGAACACTGTGGAATCGTCCACACGGCACGCATCCCTGATGCTTGTCTGGAGGCCACAGCTAGAACAGAAACCAGCGACGACGAGTCTCTCCTGCTGTGTTAAGTCAGGAGTTCTCAGCTCCAATCCTGAGGACCTGCTGCTCTCCGGTGTTTTCCCGAACCCAGCACTCCGACTCCGGCCCTCGCCCAGCGAGGTAGATCAGCGGAATATCTCACAAAGCAGTGTTTCTTAGCTGGCTTTCACTTTTTTTTAACAGTATTATTGAGTATAAATGCGATATATTTTCAGAATATTGCATCACATCACTAAACAGAACATAACAGGCATGATGACAGATGAAGAAAAACAAATGATACATATGCAATGGCAGTTAAAACCAGAATACAGTTTCAGATTGCAGCATGTTAGTGTACAGAAATATTTTAGGTGTCTGGCTTCTTCAAAAGAAGAGTTTTCCCCAAACATCCAGAGATGGGTGTGGTTTTCTTCTAATTACAATTGTTACATTTAATATGGCCAAACAAAGAGAGAGACTTTAACTGCTGGCCAATTGTTGGACAGCTAATTTAAGGCTGACTGGAAATCAAAATGGACATCTATTTACCTTGTTAGTTGCATTATGTTTCATTAAGGACGATTATTATTATTATTATTATTATTATTATTACGAATATAATATCACATCACAAAACAGAACATAATACATAACAGGCATGATGAAAAATGAAGAAAAACAAAACAAATATGATACATGTGCAACGGTACAGAAGTTCGGAGAGGCCATGAGCTGTTAATATAATTTTCTGGATTGTTATCTTGAGATCACAAGATAGCTAACTCATTATCTCAAGATAACAACTTCATTGTATTGAGATCACAAGATAGCTAACTTGTTATCTCAAGATAACTTTGTTATATTGATATCACAAGAAAGTTGACTTGTCTCAAGATAACAACTTCGTTATATTGATATCACAAGACACTTAACTCGTTATCTCAAGATAAAACTTTATCTTGAGATCACAAGAAAGTTAACTCGTTATCTCAAGATAACAACTTTCTTATGTTGAGATCACAAGACAGTTAACTTATCTCAAGATAACAATCCAGACAATTATAACTACCTCATGGCCTCTCCAGACTTCCATACCGTGGTGATGAAAACCGTTACAGTTTCAGATCACAGTCTGTTGGTGCACAGAAACATTTTAGGTGTCTGGCTTCCTAAAAATCACCAGTTTTGTCCCCAAACATCCAAAAAATGGGTGTTGTTTTCTTCTAATTATTACAAATGTTACATTTACCGTGGCCAAACAAAGAGAAAGAGACTTTTACTGCTGGCCAGCTGTTGGACAGCTAATTTAAAGTCGACCTGAAACCAAAATAGACATGTTTTTACCTCGTTAGTTATTTTAAGTTTCATCAAGGATGATTCGTCATACCATTTGACAAAAAAGATAAAATATTTGTTTCCATCATCAATGACCAAACTAGGAGTCTGGGTGCTGTCTATCTGAGTAAAGTGGGCGGGGCTTATGCCATGGACGCACCCATGCTCAAACAACAAAAATTCTTCTTTCTCTTGTGATCTTACATCAGAATGTAATGGCTTTAGCCCCGCCGCTAAAATGCTTTCTTATTTTAGTCACAGTGCACAAGCGTGTGAGACAAAATGGCATTAACCAATGATACCATGTTTTACCTTCTCCACTCGCCCCCGCCACCAGGTCCTGTCTCGATCAGGAGATTTAATCCTGCTATATAAATAACTCTGATTAACAGCCGTCCTTATTTCTTCAATCTATGCAGATATTAAAGTAAAAGCCTACAGCAGCTAAATGGCCTGATTAGCTATTTTGCTTAGCTGTTGATGCTCCTGACAGACGACAAAAACAGCTGGAGCTCAAATAAACAAAGCTGCCCTCTGAACATGTTGGAGCTCCAGCAGCTGCTTATGCTGGTTTCATAAGACCAACGATGCGTCTCAGTAAACGTATTTTCTATCTTCTTTTATTTACCTTCAACCAACTGATGAAAACACACCCCATTCATGCTAACATTAGACTGTGAAAGCTGGCAACTGTGCTTCAGTAATTGCAGGACGAATATATAATAATTGTGACAGGTTGTGTTGTGAGTCAAGCCTGTCCAATCAGAGAACAGCTGAGGAACATTCCTATTGGACAGTCCTCAATTTGGACCGAAGTTATCCAGCGTTCCTGAGAAATCCTGCTTTGTGAAAGGTCTGTCTGGGCGGGAAACGTTTGAAAAGGCAGCGCGCCCTCAGGTCTGGAGTTGAGAACCGCCGTGCGAAGCCTGCCAGCTGCAGCGCAGTCCGTAAGGCTCTGAACTCGTGAACTGTCCCTGCTTCAAGCTTCGCTTCTTCTGTCTCCCCAGCAGGGAAAAGTGTGAATGTGTTTTTTTGGACAACCTGCCCTTTGAATTTCCAAATGCTTACACAAGAGCTTTGAGACCATTTCTGGTACGCAGTCTCCCCCTCCACTGTGCTGTTTTGGCATTTCTCTTCACCGTTTTTAGCTACGTGGTTAATAAAGTCTTCTTTTTCCTTCTGTTTCGTTCTCCCTGCCTTTGTTAAGAGGGAACAGCTGCAGTTTACGACGATACACTTAGCTGGGTGGGAGAGGAGCGCTGGGAAGCGAAGGAGCTGTGTAAACACTGTCTGGAGGAGGTGTAAAATGTACACTGGTACTGAAAAAGCTGAACTAGCTCAGAAGCTGCAAGAGATTTATTACTTATTATTGAATTATTTGAACCTTGATGTCATTAATTTCCTTAAAAAGTGAGCAAAAACTCGGAGGGTACGTGCGACTCTGACGGTACAGATGCTGACGGTACGGTTCATTTCAGTTACTGGGTGATTTTTTTGGTCCCCATTAGAGACACAGAAATGGTTTGCAAATATTTTCGTCTGATTTTGGGCTAGAGCAATTTATTTATAACGGCGCGTGAGCGGCGGAGTGACTGATTTCAAGGATGCTATGTTGTGTAACAGCCACTGATGTTTGTTGTATTTATTGTTTTGTTACTGTTTCAGTAACCTTACTGTTTTGGTACCGATAACTCGTGTGTGAGTGTGTATATTTATTATTATTATTCTTGGTTTTGATTTCAGTAGTGGTTACTTGAGAAGCATGTTACATTGTCTTGTGCTTTTTTTAAGTGATATGGTGTATGAATGTATATAAATATATCTATATCTAAATATATAAAGATGCATAACTGTTTACTGCACTAAGAATAAAACAGCGTTCATCCCAAGTTGTGGTTACTTGTTTATTCAGACATGCGTATTTATTGTGAGAACTTTTGGCAATATACACTATGGCCAAAAGTATGTGGACACACTGTGTAGGTGTTTCAGCCACATCCATTGCTAACAGGTGTGTGAAATCAAGCACATAGCCATGCAACCTTCATACACACACACTTGCAATTTTCTTAATGTAATTAGGAATGGCAGTTAACAGGAACTGTGAGGGTCAAGCTGAGGTCTGGAAGACCAAGAAAACTTTCCAAGAGAACTGCTTGTACAATTGCTAGAAAGCCAAATCAAACCCTTTGAACCATTTGACTGTGAAGGACCTTCAAGAACATTTAGCAGACTCTGGAGTGGTGGTGCAATGCGCTACTGTACAAATATGACCTTCATGGAAGAGTCATCGGAAAAAAAAAACATTCCTTGCTTGAAGCCTGAAGCATTTTGGGAACAAATCTTGTGGACTGATGAAGGTAAAACAGAACTTTCTGTATGTCTGGAGAAAAAGGGGGCAGTATTTCATGAAAAGAACACCTCTCCAGCTGTTAAGCTCAGGGGTGGATTGGTCATGCTTGGGGTTGGTGTTGTAGCCAGTGGCCATTTCGCTGGTAGAGGGAAGAATAGAGTCAATCAAATTCCAGCAAATTCTGTAAGCACACATCATACTAGTCTGTAAAAAAGGTGAGGATGAAAGCAGGATGGCTTCTGCTACAGGATAATGATCCTAAACACACCTCAAAATCCACAACGCACTACCTCAAGAGGCACAAGCTGAGTCACAAGGTTTGCCATGGCCTTCACCGTCTCCCAACCTAAACATCATCACAAATCTATTGATAGACCTCAGGAGAGCAGTGCATGCAAGACGACGCCAAGAATCTCACAGAAGTAGGTGTTTTGCAAGTAAGAATGAGCGAAAATCTACCGAACAAGAACTAAAAGACTTTGGCCCAATCCCATTTCACCCCTCGCCACTACCACTCAGCCTTTACCCCTCTGTTTTGCGCGTTCACATCTAGGGGTAGGGTGTCCCGATCTTTGTTGAGATAGAGGGGGAGGGTGAAGTGTTGGGGCTGCATGACCCTCCAAACTGAGGTTTTTCAGAGACTCCAAACAGAGTGAGATGAGAAAAAAAGAAAAACCGGCAAGACGGCTGAACAAGAGACCAAAGAAACACACAAATGTGAGAATTTACTCCGTTAAAAAATTACGATAATCATTGTATTAAAATATGTCGTTTCAGTGTATTATGGTCAATTTCTTCATGACAAGCATAAAAAAATTACTAATTGCATGCTAAAGTCTTGGTAGCTAGCTAGCTAACTTCCTCGTTCCACCTTAAATAGTCCAGCAGTTCTGACGCCTGAAGCGCCAGAATGTAACTGCTGCTCCATTTAAGGTGGAACAGGAAAATTCAAACAAGAATCTGGTGAATATCTGACTTTAGCTTCATATCACTGAAGAGTTAGGGGTGGGTGATAATAAATAATTGCCCCCCTCTTTGAAGGCGTATGACTCCCTAAATGTAACTAAAGCCCAGCAGTGAGGAGCTGAACTTTACCCTCCTCTGCTGTCACTGCAGACTGGCAGGGTCGCCTACAGAGCAGCGCTGGTAGCTGTTAATGAAGTGATGCTCTTTTTATTTGAGGGTCCCATTTCAGAGGGAAGATTTCAACCACTACCCTGTAACTCAGTTCAAAGAGGTTAGGATGACACTCGAAAACAAGGGGTAGGGGTAAAAAGGAGAAATGGGATTAGGCCTTTGCTTTGGACCCTTTTCCTTTTTTGCTATTTTTAAACTGTAAAAGAAGGAAATGATAAAGTAATCTTGCTATTAAAGATATTAAAGAAATGTATCAGCTTTAACTCTGTGCCTTGCAGAAATCAGGTCATTGTGTAATCGCTTAGCTATTCACAGTAATGGAAATTTTCACCAGGGTTCCCAAACTTTTTCATGCCACTGTGTATTCTAAGGTCACAGAGTCACGACAAGGCAGAAATGAACACAACGTGGTACTTTTTCAGGGCGTGTCGGCCGCCTGCTGAGCAGGGCTACTCTATCGGTGATGGCGTGAATAGGTATTTTTTCCAGAACAGAAATCCAGAATCGGGAACCAGAACTTCACCTGTAAGGAGAAATGAACAGAAGGAGGACTCAGTTCTGTACGGATTCTGTGTTCTATATTGTCGCTGCCGGAATTAAACCTTGTATTTCCAAAATGGCAACTTTACAGGAGCAAAAGGAACAAAATATTCTTCTAAAGACATTTGGAGCATTTCTATTGGTCCATTCATTATATAAAAAATAAATTTAACATGTAAAGAGCAGCTGGCATTTTCAAACTGCAAAAAAAGAGAAAGATGGGGATACAAAGTTTTGATCCAACAGTGACAATCAGTAATAATACGGTAATAAAACAGTAACTACTATAAATTATTCGGTAACTACTACTTATTCAGTATCTACTATGAATTATTCAGTATCTACTATGAATTATTCATTAATTACTTTGAATTTTCAAGTATCTGCTATGAATTATTAATCAATTATTTTGAATTATTCAGTATTTACTATGAATTATTCATTAATTACTTTGAATTTTCAAGTATCTACTATGAATTATTCAGTAGCTACTATGAATTATTCAGTATCTACTATGAATTATTCAGTATCTACTATGAATTATTCAGTTTCTCATAGTAAAAATGAAATTTTGAAAAAAAAAAAATTCTTACGTCTTTCTTCAGACTCTGAAATCGGGCCTGTTCCACCTGCATGAAGTTGTCTTGTGAGCGTTTGTTCAGGATTTTGTTGTGCAGGTATTTCACCCTTTTGTCTGTGTTTTCAGTGAAGAAATACTCTGACGCCAGCAGCTTGACCTGCAGCAGCTTAGCGGCCAGCAGGCCGAGGATCAGCAGGACGGTGATGACGGAGCAGAGAGGAACCACAGCCTGAGAGAGCAGCAGAGTGGGCTCGGGATAACACTCGCGCGCAACCAAGCTCACAGAGAAGGAGAAATCCCTCTGCCTGTTCACTTCAGCCACAGGGATGGAGAGGACCTGATGCTTACTCTGTTAGTGAAGAGGATCCGTTAATAACAGAGAGATTAGCTGATCTTCATTCAAGTGAAGGATGGTGGCTTTGGGTAAATGGGACACATACTGGCCCTGAATGATGAAGCCATCATTTAATTCTATTTCAACATATAAAAATTTCATTGTTTTCATGTTTTCATACACATCACTGTTGTCAGAACAAAACCTCGCATCTCCATTTTTGTCGTTTCTCAGTTTTTGATATAATTTGAAAATGCCTGTTGCCGTTTATATTGTGTGTACGTCATGATGAATGAACCAGATCTACTCGGAAAAATTTCTGGTTCCATTGACTTACATTCAAAGTAAAGTATGCTTTTTCCCTCTCCTGTACAGTTATCACTTTGGAGATATGAGGTTTTGTTCCGACAGCAGCGTCATAAGCATCTTAATGTGTTCCAGAATTCCTGATTCTGCCCTGCATGTGTTTCTCTGGCTGAACAGATGTTAAGGTAGACAAAAGAGTAGGTTATACTCTTCCCTTACAATTTGTTAGAATTTTTTCTCTTGTATATGGCCACTTTATTAGAAACGCCTACCTTACAGCTCCTCTCTTGTAACTGCTGTGCCGATGATGAACCATCACCTAAATAATATCTGGCCAACAGCCGCCCTGTGGTCAGAAACCACCCAATGACGAGTACGAGGAGTACAGTGGGGCTGATAAACTGTGCAGAAACAGACTACAGTCTGTAACTGTACACTTACATAGTGGAGCTACAAGGTAGGTGTTTCTAATAAAGAGGCCAGTGAGTGGAAGCACAAGGGAGGTGTTTCAAATAAAGTGGCCAGTGAGCGGAAGCACAACGGAGGTGTTTCTAATAAAGTGGCCAGTGAGTGGAAGCACAAGGTATTTCCAATAAAGTGGCCAGTGGGTGGAAGCACAAGGGAGGTGTTTCTAATAAAGTGTCCAGTGGGTGGAAGCACAAGGGAGGTGTTTCTAATAAAGTGGCCAGTAGGTGGAAGCACAAGGTGTTTCTAATAAAGTGGCCAGTGGGTGGAAGCACAAGGTAGGTGTTTCCAATAAAGTGGCCAGTGGGTGGAAGCACAAGGTAGGTGTTTCTAATAAAGTGGCCAGTGTGTGGAAGCACAAGGGAGGTGTTTCCAATAAAGTGGCCAGTGTGTGGAAGCACAAGGTAGGTGTTTCTAATATAGTGGCCAGTGGGTGGAAGTACAAGGGAGGTGTTTCCAATAAAGTGGCCAGTGTGTGGAAGCACAAGGGAGGTGTTTCCAATAAAGTGGCCAGTGTGTGGAAGCACAAGGTGTTTCTAATAAAGTGGCCAGTGGGTGGAAGCACAAAGGAGGTGTTTCTAATAAAGTGGCCAGTGGGTGGAAACACAAGGGAGGTGTTTCCAAGGTAGATGTTTCTAATAAAGTGGCCAGTGGGTGGAAGCACAAGGTAGGTGTTTCCAATATAGTGGCCAGTGGGTGGAAGCACAAGGTAGGTGTTTCTAATATAGTGGCCAGTGGGTGGAAGTACAAGGGAGGTGTTTCCAATAAAGTGGCCAGTGGGTGGAAGCACAAGGTGGGTGTTTCTAATAAAGTGACGTTTAATACTCACATTCACTTGCATTATAAGAGGAATGTAGAAGGGGTTCAGCTCTTTTAATTTATCACTGATGATAACAGTAATCCAGTAGAGCAGCCCGTCCAGCCCCAGCAGAAAGAACCAGCTCAGGATGTAGAAGCCAACAGGAATGAAGAACATTGCCATCGGCAAACACTCACTCAGACGGAGCTTAGCGGAGGGGATGAAGATGTAGTGCCTCGCCTCCTCCTTGGTCAGAGGGAGAACGTGAGGCTTTCCCAAGGCCTTCTGGCGCTGATCGTACTCCACGAATCTGCTTGTGATGAACACGTTCTTGTATCTTTTCTGGCCTGTGTATTTCTTGAGGAAACGTGCTGT